GGTAATCCCCGGGGCCGGCCTGGGCCCCATAGGTCCATCCGTAGGACGGTTGAGGAGGCTGCTGCGGGGCCTCTGGCTGGGATGGCTCTGCCCACCGCTCCCTTGTTTCGTGTTACAGGGCTCCTGATGGAGGGTGTATCTGCCCTCCCTCCTCCAAGGGCCTCTCTGCCATCTTCTTGCCATTGCCCGGCCCTCTGCCTCCCTGCCCGGGGGCGGCCAGGTCCCATTGCTCTCTTGGGCTGTCCTGTCTCTTGGCTCCATTGAGCCGGGCCGAGCTGCCCCGTGCCAGCCCCTTGGGCGGAGCAGAGCCCGGGCGTGCCTGGGGCAGGTCTGCTGCGTGGCCGGGCAGGGAGCAGCGCAGTGCGGGGACGGTACCAAGGTGCCCAAGGAGTCTGGCTAGTCCCACCTTGCAGCAGCTGGTGTGAACGTCCAGCCGATGCGTCTGGGACAGTCCTCCGAGGAGTGCGGAGCTGGGCCGGGTTTGTGCTGTTCCCGGGGAGCGGTGGAGCCCGGTGAACCCCTGCATGCTGCTTTGGCCACCAGGTTCGTGCGAGCGTGGGGCGGGACCGTGCGAGCTGCATTGTCTGCGTGCCGGCCATGGCCCACATGCTGCACGGACGCAGGAGAGCGGGGCAGCGCTGCAACTCGCAGCTCGGATGCTTCGCCCGGCCCACTTTCACCTGTGGGGCTGGGCTGGGGCCCTTTCGCTCTGATGGTAACGAAGCCAAGCGGCTCCGCGAGGCAGGGCGACAAACCTACTGCTGCCTGCTCAGCCCAGCTCCCAGACCTGTTCTCTGCAGCTCTGTGCCCAGGCTTAGCGCAGCTCCCAGCGGCCGGTGCAGGCGCCGGGGCGGGGCGGGCAGCTCTCTTGGACTACGCCCCAGTGCTGGGATCCAGGCTGGGGGGGCTCTTCCTGCAATGTCATCTCCAGACTGTCCATTAACATGCTGCGGAAGGGAATGTAAAATAATCGGGCCTGCCCTGATCTGAGCCCCGTGGCTCACATCAAACCCCACGGCATGTGCATGCTCCTTTATTTCATTCCATGATTCCTCCACCTTTGCCAGGAGCCCTCTTGCTGCTCCGCGGGAGGGCTTTAGAAGCGGAGACCTGCGGCGCACCAGGGCAGGGGTGTGTCTAGACTACATGCCTCCTTCGACGGAGGCATGTAGATTAGCCAGATCGGAAAAGGGAAATGAAGCCGCGATTAAAATAATCGCGGCTTCATTTAAATTTAAATGGCTGGGGCCCGCCCC